AGTCATGTGACCCATGCAATGCGAGGCCTCGTTTGTTGCTAGTCACGTGGTTTTCAGCAAGACAACACAAGCCTCGAAGCCTGGATTCAGATAGCCCATCACTACTGTCTGTTAGTTCGTCTGCCGGCACAGTAGTACTGTGAAGTCTTGTGTCGGCATCTGCTCGTTTTTGTCAGTCTTATATCAGTTGCTACTGGCATTTAGCTGTTCGCTAGTCTCTCTGCCGTGCTGCCTGTCCTGGACTGTTCTGAGCATCTATATCATTAAATTTATCTTATTCATCATCCTGACTTTATTAAGTGGTTTGAGGTTTATATGAACTAGTTTGAATGGAGCAAATTAAACAGATCTGAACTGAAAGCAAAGTGGACTTGAATCACAGTGGTTTGTTTCCTAACATTATCAAGTGCTGCTATTTGGAGGTGTTATGTGATCAGAACTTAGATTAAACATGCAGCTGTTTTTAATAATCCAGGTGTCTACTTTCTGACTAACACACCAGAAACAGGCAGAATACACACGTTCTCAGAGTGCTACTGAGCAACAAGTGGACTGGACAGACACCTCTGATTACTTACTGTGGTCTTTGGGACGTGTGATACCTGCTGTGTGACCATCTGACTCTGCTAAAATGATTTCATCTTCCATATATGTGTCTGCCATATCTCCACTGACCAACAGGCAACCAGTGAAAGCTGCTGTCATACACACCTGGCTGCCCGGCGCTGTTGAGGCGTGTCATCAGGTGGTGTGTGTTGGGCCGGTGCATGTGAACATCTGACAGCACGGTGTCATGTTTGAAGGTCATCTGATCCATGGGTGATCACTCACAGTCTGGATAAACCCAAACATTTGCTTCCTGGAACCTGCACACACTCAAATTGAACAGAACAATTATTAACAGATTATTTTTTTCATAGCAAATCAAAAAGCACTGAGGGCTTTTCACAAGTAGAATAAAAGTTTTACGAGAATCACACTGTGTTCAATTTCTCTTTAGTTGAGCATAACCTCAATTGTGATGACTTGGATGTATTTTACAAATAGAGCTGATATAAGGCAGGGAAGATTTCTTCAAAACAGAAAAGGCCCTTTATTCAAGCTACTATCCTGATACCAACTTCTGCATCATCTAAATGCAGAAATTGGTCCTTTTAGTCCTGAAAGTCTAAAAGAAAAGATGAAACTGGACCAGATGGTCGATAAATCCGATTGGGGCATATATGTTCTATCTTGCCAATTCGGACCATGATCATCTCAAATGAATTGTAGGTACTTGAAGCGATCATTTGACATAAAAAAGGCCTTTTACAGATGATAGCAGTGCCACCTCCATGGCCTGTCATCTGTGGAGGTAACCTGATCATGTAACCAGGGGTCTTCTAGTCCCTGAGGGCCAGTGTCCTGATCCTGGTCATTAGCAGGACTCTGGATAAGTGGACTGCATACTTGATTCAGGTGTGCCAGAGCACCAGGGAATTAACTACAAGTTGCAGACCCCTGGTGGAAATCCTTAGTCTTATGCCCCAATATCTAAAACCCGAGACTTAAAAGAAGTTGTGCCTTCATTTGACCATGACATCGTGTTGAGTGTCTGTTTCTGGCAGTTTATTTTTAGTATTCCACGCTGGTGCCATCTGTCTACAAAGATCACTGCATGCTGGACATCCTGTTGACGGGATGAATAGGTATAAATTATTGTAATCTATTGGAAAACAATGTAATTAATTAATCAATCAATCAATCAATCAGTAAATACTCCACATTCCTCTGCTGTCTTATTGTTATGGAGAGAAAAGTCAACTTCTGCCCGCTCCCTTACATCAGGGGTGCCAGACTCCAGAACTGAAGAGGCTCTGCCTTCCAACTTCCCAGCAGATCCATCATCCCTGTTCCAACCAAGCTGAACTAACTGAAGAGCTCTAAGTACCAACCGGAGCTCGAGGACACCGAGGAAGTTATTCAGACAGAGAATCAATGTGTTGAAGCAGGACTGCACCTTCAGCTTTAGCTCAGTAGCCCCGAAGCTGGAATTGGAAACCGCTGCCTTAAATCGTGTTTTTCCCAACCTAACCTCCTGTTGTCAAGAGGAACTGCTTGTTGTTTACTAGTGACTGTACGTGAAACTTCCATAGACTCTGACTTCCCTCCCGCCAGACCGCGGCACAGCTAACCACGGCTAACTCTGCTAGCCATCATGTCTGGGCGATCATGTTCGGAAACATTGTTTCTAAAGTTACAGTCCTACAGCTCCTTAGAAAGGAATTAAAACAGGCTTAAGGGTTACTCACCTGTCGTACCGGGGCCGACATGACAGTCTTATGATGCGTTCATGTTTCTCGGAATTAGAAAAACTATGAAGAGTGCACTGAGAAACTCAGACAAAGCTAACATGGCTGCCACCGATTAGTATCTCAGTTTTCTGTTGCTAAATATGTTCCTTTATCAAAGAAGTAATAACATAGCTTTTTAAGAGATACAGTATAGGCTACTTAAAATTAGTTCAGTAAAACAGCAAAGGCCTCATTTGTTAGATGAAATTACGAGTTCTCGTCCAACATTGAATGCAACATATTCCATTGTAATGGTGCGTTTGATTTACCTCCGAAATCCAACAGAAATTGTAGGAAACATTGTTCTTATATTATATTATATTATATTATATTATATTATATTATATTATATTATTATGCTATATAACACTTATCATTAAAATGAGTAGTAAATTTAAACCTGATGTTAAACAGAGACTAACTGAATACAAATACATTCAACACTTTTAGCTTTGATACTTTTTATCTAAATTACAACCCATTTTTATGTTGCACTTTGAGAATGAATCCCACTGTCAAATAAAAACACTATGTGTGTTCTTAAGTGTAACTACCGTTACCAATGAGAAAGTAGATTTTTCTTAGGGAAGTGAAATCCAAAAACACAAAGGAGGAAAAACTGGGGTGAATTCTTATTGGTTGATTTATATGCAGATCTCCTCCTTATGTCAGCTTTAACCTGCAGTCAGGAGCAACATGGAAAAGTATTATCATTAGGGTCCAAAGGTTACCAACTGGTGTTTATCGCTACAGATGGGAATAAGGACACAAGTTCCACCTGTTCACCATGTTGATGTTAGCTTGGCCGTTGCCTTCCTGTGCAACTACACTAGAAAAACAGTAAATAGCGTAGGACAAGGGGCTGCTTTTTACCAGGCCATGTGGATGTGCTTTCTGAAGGTTTTCTTTAATCCTGTGATGACCCAAGCAAAATACATTGAGGCCAAATTATACATTTGTAGGAGTCCATGAACACTTTCATTAATTTAATGTCCATGAGGCAGTAGGACAGGTTTTTAAACAGATGTGCAAAATAGGAAGTAAGGAAATAGGAGCAGTTACAATATTTTCAGGAGGAAAGTTCATTAGCTTTTATGTATCATGTGTCATAAAGTACAACCACAGAATAATGAGGTACTGCTAATCAAACACACTGGGTTAAGTGATAAACACTTAGGTGTTGGCAGCTTGCTGCTTATGATGAACTTTTCCATCATTGTGTAGAGAGAGAATATTCAGAGGTCAGATCATGAAATGCTTAGAAAGTCTACAAAACACTCTAAGAGCTCTGTCTCAGCTCCACAGTGGAATGGTATATGCTGAAGTTGATGTAACATGGTTTGTTGAACAACATATGTGCTGTGATAATGACGAAAGGACTGCTATATTAGTCAAAATATAAAGAAATGAGAAACAGTTTGAGAATCATTTACGGACAGATTCACTCCCTTGGAACTTCAGTTTTGTGCTTCATCGGTGCCCCCTATAGGTCAAATAATGTATTATCTGAAGAGGGATAAAGTTCATGACGGGACCAGGAGAAAAGGACTGAACTACTATGGCTTGTTTTGAAGGAGGAAGCCTCTTCTAGACTACTAGAGGAATGTATTTTAGACAGATGAGACCACAGTACAGAGATTTGACCAAATCACACATTTGGTAAAAAAAATAAATAAATCCAGCACAAACAGTGTAGTGGAAGGTGGTGACTGAGGCTTGTTCTGCAGCCACAGGCATGGTTATCCCTCAGCATACCGAAGGACTCTAGACTCAGGTTTGAGGCCAAATGTTTTAAACCTGAAGCTCGATTCAAACTAGATCAACATGACAAAAACAGCTCCAAATCAAACCTCTACTGTGAACATGTGATCTAGATTCTAGAACCTGCACCTCAGTTTAAACAAGTAACAGCAATTCCCTAAAATGTGCTGAAAGTAGAGATCAAATGAGCAGGCTCTGATTGTCAAAACTAGACCCTCTGTGTCATGAATATCATGAAAAAATGATGTAATCCATCCACAACATAGCTCAGATCTGTTATAGTTTATAATATAGTGCATTATCTTTTTATTAAAGTATTTTTTCATCTGAAGGTGTCAGTGACGCCAAACACAACACAAACATCTTCACAAACATGCTCATCAAGTACCAACAAATATAGAAAATATCTCTGAGTCAGATTTAAGAGTAAAAAAATGTGAAAATTGCACATCATTCACTTGATTAAAAAATACAATACTTTTTTTAAACAAGAGCAAAGAGATTGTTTTTTTTCATTCATTTAGTTTCTTTTTAACTCTCAGGTTTCAGTCTGATCAAAATAAAAATCCCATTATCAGTTCTAGCCCATAATTTCCATCTATTTTTAAAATGGGAGTCGGGACACACGGATCATATCCATGCTGGAAAACTGGAACAAACATAAAAACTTCAGCTGACATTCAGATAAGAACACATTCAGGTCAATAAGAAGATCTTAAGTAGTGCTAGTGTTGATTTGAAATATATGAACATGTTTTCTTTCTAAAAACATAAATAGTTATAAAATGTGTTGTCCACATGAGTAAACTGAAGACTCTGAGTTCTGCAGGTCAGGCTGGCTCCAGAGTGAACGCTGAGAGGAAGTGGGCGTGTTTCTGTAGGGGAGGCAAAAACAGAAAACGGTCGTTAAACGTTGAACTCAGTTGGGATGGATTCTAAGGTGAATCAAAAAAAAGTGATTTCAGAGTTCGATCAAACATCGACACTAGTCTGGGAGCCGGTTTCAGGAGAAGCTGCTATTGTTTAAACTAAGGGCTGGTCTGCCAGGGAGCTCTCAGCTGGTTAATGGTTATCCAGCGATAACAGATTTTACAGCCTCTAAGCGACGGGAAGTTTCCTTCAGTTCCGCATTCAAACCACTGACTAAAAGAGAACAAAGCTTTACACAAACACAGAGAGCACAAAGCTGATCAGGGATCAGTGGGTAGGATGATCAACATGAAGTAGACGTTTGGGGGAAAAAAAACAGAATCCTACATTTCTATAAAGAGCTGCTGACTCTAGTCGAATGACATACAGCATCAAAACTTTATGTGTAAATTGAGAAATGAAGAATACATAGCAAAGTACACTGTAACACTGATAACAAGGAGAGAATGCATTTCAGTTAATGTTTGTTATTGAAGCCTGACAATCCTCCTTTATCTAAAAATCTAATGAACATCTAAATTCAAATTTTCAGTCATAGCTTTCTAATTTCAATTTTGACAGAGTGGGTATTTTTTTATGCTAAGGACTAAATACATGCATGACATGGAATTGGAATTTGACCGGAAAAAAAAATAATTACAAGATTTTCCCTATTTGTGCATTTAAGCTTATACACCTAACCTTTATCTGATACTCTGAAACTCATAAAAAGGTGTTAAGATATTTGCTGTTGATGGGCACATCTGTAATTATACATCATTTAATGTCAAGATTTAACATTTCCAGAATCTTTTTGATGATACTAGAGAACATTCAGTAAAATAATCAACCACATATTTATGACAAAATGTAAATAATAATCAACATGTCAATCTACCATATATTCTTCTTCTAATGAATTACATAGAGTGAGAAATTCGGTCAACCAGGAGGGACTCAGAGCAGACCCTCTGCTTCTCCACGTCCAGAGGAACAGGAAGTGGCTCGGGCATCTGGTTAGGATGGACGCCCCACTGGCGGGGTGTTCCAGGCACGTCCCACCAGGAGAAGGCGCCAAGGAAGACCCAGAGGAAGACCCAGAAGAAGATGCAGAGGAAGACTCAAGACATGCTGGAGGGACTTTGTTCCTCTGTTGGTCTGGGAACGTCATGGGATTCCATAGGAAGATCTGGCCAAAGTTGCTGGAGAAGGAAGTCTGAGCCTCTCTACTTCAGCTGCTGCCCCTGTGACCCGACCCCAGCTAAGCAGAAGACAATGGATGGACGGATGATCAGTTGTTATAGATTTAATCAGACCAGGAGTGGAATCTATTTCCTAGCTTTGTAATTTATACAGCAAATGAACATTCAGAAGCTTCTCATTCAACCTATCAAGCTCCAGGAACACTGAAACCTTTGCCAGTCTTTTCAAAGACTCTGTGTGGAAAGCCTCCCTTTTGTCATCTGAACTTTATTTCAAAGAAACAGGAACCAAAGGACAGAGAATGAAAGGGGGTTCAGTTCCATCTCACTGAGGCCAGTACCATCAGCGAGGTCAGCCTCTCACCCAACCCTGGTCACAAACGCTACCAGCATCAGCTGCTCCCACCGGTGGGGATTATTGTCACAAAGTGGTCTGACTTGATTCAGAAAAGATGAGCCACAGTAAATCTTCCTGAGTTCAGGCGACAGACAGTTCGGAAGCACTGGGTCTGCTGTCGCACTCGGCTCAAAGGAGACTTGTTTCAGGCAACATCTCGAAGAGTCGGCAAGCAAAACAAAGACGGGGTTTCTTCAGGACAGTGAGGACTTTAGGACTTCCTGGCTCTGCTCAGGAAGTCCTAAATATGGCTCTTGTCTTGTCAAGAGTCTTGAGCTAAGACTGGATCAACAGGTACACACTTCCAAAGACGATATTAATGTTTATACAAAGTATTATCTTGGTATAATGTGTCTTCAACCTGTCAGCAGCTAGAGTTAAATTCCTCTCAATTTGAGAAGAAATGTTCTCTCAATTTCATCTCAAATGATTTTTTTTTTGCGCTTTGTCATTTTTTATTTTTTTATTTTCTGTGGTTACTGTTTGTCATATTAATGTCAATAAAAATATTTTGTAGACACCAATGAAGAACCTATTCATTTTCTGCTTAGCAACCCAGAACAGGAACATTTAGTTTACATACTAGATGTATGTAAACTCAAAACAGAAAAAGAATCAAACGTATTAGTTATAACAAATATCCAGAGGATTTCACTGAACCCAGAGCAGGAATTAGAACAAATTTAGAATCCAGAGAAACTCTTATTAGTTTATAGAGAAACTACTGATTATCTTAGATCAACATTATCAGAACAAGAATCCAGAGAAACTGCTACTAGTTTATAAATCACTAACTACTTATTCTTAAACATGGGGTTATACTTTTTTGTTTTCTTTTTTCTTCTTCTGCTCTTTCTTTTGGTTTGTAGTTTTGTTGTATTTCCTCTAATTCATGTAAAGCACTTAACTGCCTTGTTGCTGAAAATGTGCTGTATAAATAAAATGACCTTATCTTACCTATAAACCTTGTCCAAATTCCATCCCAGGTTTAGAACAAGATAATTCAAAATAAAAACAAAAAACGTACCTTGAATAAAAATTATTATTTGTTCCAGCGAAGCAGACCCTGTACTTGATATCGGTTTGTTACCAAAATATTGCACATCTCTAATTTTTACCACCAGACTACAAAACAATTAGACCAAAAATAAAAAGGTAAGAAACGGTGAAGGAGTAAAATGTCTTCCTCTGGTCAGAATGTAACAGTTATTTAACATTACATTTACAAAGTTATGCTTGATTAGAATGTCAACATTTTTTATGACTGACTTATTACTCTACAAAATATGTTTTTATAGTGCATGTAGCTAAGCTATTCATTGTGAGAAATGTAATCCTTGCTAACATGTCCTCACCGCAATAAAACGGCAGTACATCTTGAACTTTGACCTGCTGTGTGTGATGTGGGCCTCACCTGTCCACCTGTTATGTGGGTGAAGTCTCCATAGTTGTGTGCGGCATCTCTACTTCAAGGAAAGCCACAGGGGACACTGCAGTGTGCGGGGGGCCTTCCTGCGGGACAACGGTCTCCATGGCAACGGCCACCTGTCCCGTCTGCTGGGACTCCGCTGTCCCAGCGGCTGACCTCTGCGCTCGGCTTGCGCGGCCTCCGTTCCGGCGGAAAGAGTTCCTGATTCCGGTGGAGACGCGGTTGGAGAGCCGCCTCACTACCCCGCCGATGCCGCCCGCTTGGCCCTTCTTCTTCAGCAGGCCGACGTCATCCTCCAGCTCCCCCGGGGGCACCTCGATGTTCCCAGAGTACCAGAACACCCACCAGATGAGGCTGAGGAAGATTACGATGGCGCCCGCGTAGATGAGCAGGTCATAGAAAAATACGTTGACGAACACCCCGAGGAGGAGCACGGTCAGGCCCACGATGTCAAAGGCGACAGCCAGCCAGAAGCTGCACACACAGCGGCCCAGACCCCGGTACTCGGCCTCCATGTTCAGGTGTCAGCGGCTGGAAGGTGAGACAACCTGTCCTGCTCGGGGCACACAGGCGGACACACCTCACAGGAGGGGCGTTCCGCTCCCAGGAGGAGGGGCTGCTGCTGAGGCACCTGGCCGGTAACGGCCTTCCTCTGGCAGGCTGGGCAGCAACAATCTGCCGCTCTTCATAACGTTGGCAAAAAATAAAAAGCAATAAAGGACCAACCAATAATGTATAATGAAGATTATAATAAAGATATAATAACAAATGCAGGCTTTTATTATATCAGATTTGTTTAATAATTGCACTAAATATCCACAAAAAAATCACTCTAAAACAACCAGTAATATTTTCTAGTGGGGTTTTTTCCTGGTCAATTTGGAAACTATGTGCTTATTCAGAATCAGCTTTATGGGCTCAAACCATTGACTTCAATCTCAAGCATTGATGACTTAGAGACTTCAGGTACAAATGTATAAACTTTAGAGGATTTTTTATATATAGCATTTTCTACAAATATCAACACCACAAACTATTGACCAGAGGGCAAAGTTCACAGGAATGCAAAGCCACCTTGTGGTGCTTTGTGTAATGAAGGTCTAACAGCCTGTCATTAAATTTGATTAAACTAAATTGTGGCTTGAACGTGAAGGATATGTGAGGGAAAAGTATTTGCTACCTTCCTGATTGTCTTGCATGTTTTTCACACTTCATTGCTTCAGAACATCAAACTTCACCTTATGATGAAGTTGTGTTTAGTCTTTTCAGCAGATACAATCAGTGAATTCATTTGCAGGTTTGCAGGATGTCAGGTACCTGACTAAAACAAAAGAAAAATGCTAATAGATTCCTTATAAAAATGTGGAAAAAGCAAGGAATGAACCAATACTCCTAAGACATGAAAGGTGTCACTTTCTACACCATTTTTAGACTTTGCAAAACTGGGTAGTTTAACTGATTTCAGATGGCAAATCATTCAACAGCTGCTTGTTCATCTGCTTTCACTGGAACCTGAACTTAATATTAAATCTGCAGACAGATAAAGTACAAATAACAGCTAAAGAATTTGCATACTGTGTCCACTGCTTCCATGTGAACCTTCCAGATCTCAATCTTTCACACGGTTAGCTAGAGAGGGATGGTTAAATATTCACCATCAGGTTCTAATGCAGCTGGATGAAGTCAGTTCATGATGCAGACTAGCAGATGGAATCATTTAGTGAGCAGGAGCAAAGAGCTCTTCAGGAGCCGTGTGGTTTCATCCTCCACTGCTGCTGTCCCGACATGTCAGACCCGTCACTGCTTCCGTCACCCAGCAAAGCGGGACATTTATGTCTGAACGCTGCCGCCAGTTTCTGCAGAAATACATTCAATATTCATTTCATGAAGATTCTGCACCGTCAGATCAAGATCTCTGATGGACATGTAAAACATTTGTCCATTTTCTAATATTACGCATGATTCCTCCTTTATTTACTCTTTTAGACAAAGTGGAAAAATTTAAATATTTGCCAACTAATTCCAATGCTTATGGTCACACAGTGAATTAGAATATGTATTCTGCTGGGACTAACCTATGTGTTTTAATAGTGATCAAGACACTAAAAAAAAATTAAGATTCAATTTTATTCTAATTTATTGGCTGAATAACTGATGTGATGCTCCCAGTGACCAGAACAATTTGCTGACCAACTTGCTTATACATCTGCCCCTGTAGGTGGCAGTATAAGGGTGATGTTGCATAAAATAAATGCTGACAAAAAAAAAGAAAAAAAAAAGTCTGTTGCAGCAACTCCTTAACATATAGAAAGTAGTATGGCCATATTCTAAGAAAAGATAATAAAAATACAGAAATAAAGCCATAAAATTACATAAAATTCTAAGTATGACAAAATAAAAATATGGAAAGACGAGAATAAAGTCAAAATAATATTCTTGTACAAGTTCTGATGTCAAATTTATTCTTATGCGACTTTATTCTGGTAATCATTTCTTTACATTTTCTTAGTATGGCCATAATTCTTCATCATACACATAAAAGGGTTAACACTAGTCAATGAATATTGAAACGTTTAAATGAAGGGCTCTCCTCTTGAACCAGTCGGCGCTTTCAGCTCCTTTAGCTCTCCAGGATGTTGATCTGGGCAAAAAGGCGGAAATCAGGCTGGCAAAGTGAGCTCTGACAAACACACCTTGTTTTCCCAATTAATGTTTTATTGGAACAGTTGGATGCTTTAATAACATTTGATCAACGCTCAAGCACACTGCCAGAACGTCTCATGAGAAACCAAAACTGGGTAAAAGCAAAGGGAAAACATACAACCAAGACACACTTCTGCTTTCAAATGGTCGAGTTCTGTCCAAGAATTTCATTTGCATTTGAAAATCATTCGCAAAATCCTGGTCCGCATCTGTTTATGGATAAATGTTCTGCCATGTGAGAGCCATCTATGACGGCAAGAAAAATAAAAACTCAAAAAGAAAGAAAAACAAAACAAAAATACATGTAATGTAATAGGAATGGGAGAGTTGGAAGGGGCTAACCCAGAATGGCATAACAGAGCTCTCAATATGAGAAAGCTGACTCCTGTGGTAATCATTCGTTGTCTTTTGTTTAAAAACAGGTTGCTTTTTCACTAGTTGATTTTTCCAAAGCTGATCTTCAACACGCACAAAGGGGGCGTGACGGGGAGGTGCTTTCACCGCTGAAGACAGAAGAGGCAGTATGTGAGCGAATTCTGCCAGATCCTTCTCACCAAGACTCCCGAGCACTCAGCCCGCTTCAGTCCCGTTCAGCCACCAGCTTCAGAACCTTACCGATGGCGATGGTCTTACCTGGCAATAGCACAACAAAACCCGCATCAACTTCCTGCTTTACACACATCGATATGTCAGGCTACAGAGTCCACTCCCATTTTTAGGGCCATGATTTGATTCAAAAATATAATTTTTTCTATTCAAACATTTTAGAAATTCTGTTTAATTTATTTTACTGACAAGAGGAAAGAGTTTAAACAAATGGAAATTTATTTAAATCTATTCTTTAAGGTTTCATACTGTATGAAAGGAGAGGGATGACAACATTTAATAAATATACCATGTGTTAATCTCCCATTAGGAAATTAAATGTATCAAAATTATTAAAATCATTCATTTAATTTACCTCTAAATAATTACATATATATATAACTAAATTATTAAATGCATCAATAATTAACTATGTTATGAAATAGGCAATTAAATGTCCCATGAACTGATTAAAGCTAAATTTTTATATTAATTTAAATAAAAAATTTCCATTTAAAAATAGAATTATTTTGCTGTGTATTTATTTCATGGCTCCTGTGTGACTGCTGCTGTAATGAAAATAATTTCAACTGATGAACCCAGCCATAAAACTGGATCAAATTTCATTGGTTTACATTTAAACAAAAGCAGGTTTGTGAATAAAATTTGGCAACTTAAATGACCAGTATTAGGTTTGCTTAGCTGCCTGGCTTTTTCTTTAAAAAAAAAATTATTCAAAAAGAAAGCAACATGCAGCATACTCCCAAACAGGAGTAGCAGACTCATACAACTTAATCACATCATAAAATCTATTTTGAATCAATTTAGAACACATGGTTCCCACAAGTCTGAACTGGAAGTGATCATGTTTGTATCCAAGTGCAGAGCAATGCATGGCAGACCCATGGCTTCCAGATCAACCAAAAAAAAAGTGGACACTACTTAGTGAACATGAAAAGAGTGTACAGCATGGAGGCTCACAGCCTGAAACCTATGGACGCATACAATCAATGTTTAAATGAAATTGCAAAGTGAGTTCATATAGTACCAGCTATAGGCTACATATCTGTCTGAGCATTGCAGATAAAAGCTACATTAGCTAAGCTAATTTTGCTAATTCAGCATTAAGTACTACAGTATACGTCACTGGTATTTTTCTTCGTATTACACAGAATAATCGCGTAATAGTTGTAATTTACTTATAACGTTTATAAATTAGATAGGAATGCGGTGAGATCCATTCCTAAGCTTGTGGATTTATTGTTGTCATAGCAACTGCCTGCCAAGATGGCTGTCGGTTACAAAGTTCACAGAAGTTGTGACGTCACATGAGAACTATGTACTGTCAGTTTATGGAGTGGATTTTTCCCTGCACGTCCATCCTGCTTATAGCTGGATGTTACCTCAGAGCATCAGGCCTACCTTCATCCCGTAAGGTGAACCGTCCCATCTGAGGAAAGTCTTTAAAAGTCTCGAGGCAAATGGTCCCAGCTGTACGCAGACGGGCGATGCAGACCTGGTCCTGTTTGACGAACCGGGGCCGCGTCTTACTCTTGTCTCCCGTCTTCTTGTCCACTAGACAGATTAAGGCCTGCACAGGAGGCAGACAGACGTCAGCAGGAGTTCAGGTTCTGATACAGATCCATACCAGCAGCAAATCGATCCCACTCTGAAGCTTACCGTGATTTGCACTTCTTCAATGCATGTGTGAATGTGAAGGACTGCGTTGTAACCTGGACAAATGATGGATTTGTGTTCGATGATGACGATCTGTGGAGAGAATGGTACACAATACGTTCAAGTAATTTCATCTAAAGTTTGGGGTAGTTATTAATTTTAGGGCAGAAACAATTAATCACCTATTGAAATAATTGTCAGTTAATTCAATAATTAATAATTAACAGGAGCATAGACTCAAAAAAATGTCTGTTCACTAAAAAAAAAAAGTCAAAGCCCTCGTGATTGATCAAAATTATCATTTAGCATTTTAGATAAAAAAATAAATAAATATGTTTTAGCCAGAACTACTAATTGGCTGTTTTAGCTTTAGTTAAAAAAAGAAGAAAAAAAACAACTATTTATCACCATTTGCTGTCCAATTATTATTGGTTAATCCATGAAAATTAATTTTCAGAAAATCAGCCCTACAATGCAGTTAATGCATTTTAAACAAAAACATCCTAACCCACATATGACACAATTTCATTGTTTTTGATGCGACACCATTTGATGAGGTGTTTTGTTTTTCTTCTGAATGTATCCATTTTAATGTTTTCCTCCTTCAGTTTTTTTTTATTTATTTTTTATTTATTTTTGGTTTATCTTTGTTGCCGTTAT